CGAATCCTAGATGTAAATGGTTTCTGGTTTGTTTTTTTTTTTTAGAGTTTGTGTGTGTGTGTGTGTGTGTGTGTGTGGCTATAGGGCACATACGCTTGCCAGAGAGACAGAGAGAGAAAGAAAGTGAGAAATCACCCTCTAGGAGGATGGCCACACCCCAATCCCTTCTTCTCCATTCTCCTCTCAGGATTTTGGGGATGCATGCACAAGCGCCCAGTGAGTTTTAAGCCACCAGGTCTGGAATTCAAACTGTGGTCAACTACATGGAATTCCAGCAACTTAACCATTATGTATGTCACTGTTGGTCCTGAATTCTGAATAGTTTCTAATGATCCCTAACTTTCTCCCAGGTCTGGCCAGTAACCGATGCCCAGGAATCTTTACCAGTATTTAATTCTCTCAGGAAGCTGTCATTGTGTCAGTTTTTCATTTCTTTATTTTGTTGTTGTTGTTTTTTGGGGAGGTTTTTGCTGTAGGGTGCATGTGCTCGCCAGAAAGACAGAGAGACAGAGAGACAGAAAGCGAGAAATCACCCCCCAGGGGGGATGGTCACGCCGCAATCCCTTCTCCTCCATTCTCCTCTCGGGATCTTGGGCACGCACGCACACGCGCCCAGTGTGAGTTTAAGCCACCGGATCTGGACCTCGAACTACAGTCGACTACATGGGAGTTCAGCGACATAGCCATTACACCAATTACACCAATTACTGGTCTCCAGTCTTTTCATTTCTCGTCTATCTCGAAATGACCCAAAATTCAGTTTGTCTTCCTTTGCAACCCCACAGTACTTTTTTTTTTTGACCCTCCATTGGCTGTCAGATATTTCTGCCCAAAGGAGATTCTGGAGTCACAAGCCTGGGTTTCGATCTATGCTCAATTACTATCTGTGACTTTGAGCCAATTACTGAACCTGCTACATTTGATTCAATTTATTTCCCAGGAGCCTAGCTCAGCAATGGATGCAATTATCATTTATTGAGTTGGATCCGATTTTGCAAAATCCCTGGTTTCATGTGTCACTCTTGCTTTGCCCCCCTATTTTCAACTGAAAGCAGGGGATATTGATCACATATTCAAGATGCAGAGCAGTGAAGAACAGAGAGAATGGCATGGTAACTAGAGGGAAAAGTGAAGGCTGGGACCAGCGAATGACGTAGTGGTTATGTCGCTGGACTCTCATGTAGTTGACTATGGTTGGAGTCTAGGACTTGGTGGCTTAAAACTCACAGCGTGTGGGCATGTGTGCTCAAAATCCTGAGAGGAGAATGGAGGAGAAGGGATGGCAGTGTGGTCATCCCCCTGGGATGTGATTTCTTGCTTCCCATCTCTCTGTCTCTCTGGTGAGTACACGTGCCCTATAGCAAAAATCTCTCTCCAAAAAAAAAAAAGCAAAAGGCTTTTCCAGGACAGTGAGGACTTGCGGGTAGCTGAAAAGTGGAGGAATTAACTGGGTAGGTTCAAGAGCTGGAAAGGGAAGGATCTTTGCAGGGCTGATGACTGGGAATGGACGGGAAGGAATTCCATCATGAGTACCAATGGAAGGAGTTTGCCTTTATTAAAATATATATATATTTTGAAAGCAATAAAAATCTTCTTAAATAGCAATTAATAGTAATTAGCTTAGAAAGTCATCATGCCGGGCGCCACGACCTGCCACACCCCTGTGACCATGGCGCTGCGAGTGGCCTACAGCCTGCATCCAGCCTTGACGCCTGCTGTGCCCTGCCCGCCATGCCCTTCCCATCTCAGCCCTGGAGGCTGAGGGCGGGCGTCAATAGGTCGCTGCACTCGGGACCAGCTCAGCTGTCGGTGCCTAAACTCACGGAGAAACATGAGTGGCTAACAACAGAAAATGGTACTGCAACAGTGGGAATCAGCAGTTTTGCACAGGAAGCTTTGGGAGATGTTGTTTCTTGTAGTTTGCCCGAAGTTGGGTCAAAACTGAATAATCAGGATGAGTTTGGTGCTTTGGAAAGTGTGAAAGCTGCCAGTGAACTCCTTTCACCTCTGTCAGGAGAAGTCACTGAAATTAATGAAGCTCTTGCCGAAAATCCAGAACTTGTCAACAAATCTCGTTATGAAGATGGTTGGCTGACCCAGATGCCACTGAGTAACCCTTCAGAACTAGATGAACTAATGAGTGAAGGACTTGTATGAGAAAAACATAAAGTCTATTGAAGAGTGAAAGTAGAACCCTTAAATAAAGTAATGGAAAACAACTTAATCCAGGCATAGTTGCCTTAAATTAGTGGCTGATAGAAGACTTAAAATTGCAACTTTTAGCAATACTGGTGGGAAGAGAAACGACTCTGAACACCATTACTGGAAAGAAGTACCCCTGCTACACCTTCTGCTGGCCCCTGAAAGGTGCATTTCTAAGAAAAGTTATGGCCATCATGGGTGGCCTCTGCCACTATAGTGTCGGTGCAAGAGTGTCTGGAAGCTTACCGTCTGGTGCTATTTGCTGAATGCAAGCCTTTTTAGGCTTTCTTCTTTTTGTATTTTTATTTTTATTTATTTATTATTATTTTTAAATTTGCTACAGGGCACGTCCACTCACTAGAGAAAGAGACAATGAGAGAGAGAAAGGGAAAGTGAGAAAGCAAGACTCCAGGGTCAGGACTCGAACCACGATCAGCCATGTGGGATTCCAGTGCCTTAACCCCCATGCCACCTATTGGCCCTCCACCCTTTTAGGCTTTCAAAGAGAGAGGTTGTAACTCTTAGGAGCCCTGGCCTCTTTGGAAATCAGGTGAAAATACAGACCCTCCCCTAAGACAGGCACAGGAATGCACACAATCAATCAACATTTTGCATGTGATTGGTGGGGAGCCGTGGATCTCAAAATCCAGAACATAAGTCCTGGATCTCAGTGTGAGAATTCCTGCCCTGGAACTTTTAACTTCACCCCCCTTTCATCAGTGAGATTGAAATACTTTATTTCCATTAATTAGAAAATGCTTGAATTAGAAGTGTTATCAGCAACCTAGTGCTCCCCAGAGTCCCTTCATAGCACAGCTGAGACAGCTGAGATGCAGAGACGATAGGCTTGCAAATTCTCTTTAAAAACCCTATGCCGAGGCCAGCAGTTGGCATAGTGGTTATGTCGCTGGCCGAGTCCTGGATCTGGTGGCTTGAAAATCACACCCAGTGTATGTGCGTGCATGGCCAAGATCCCAGGAGGAGAATGGAGGAGAAGGGATTGCGGTGTGACCATCTCCCCCGTGGGTGATTTCTCACTTTCCCTCTCACTGTCTCTCTCTCTCTCTCCAGAGAGTGAACGCACCTTAAGACAAACACTCTAAAAAGAAAAAAGTCCCCAAAACCTATGGTCTCCCTACCATTGTGTTTTCTACCATTGTCCTTCTCATCTTCCACTCCTGCGCAGGAGTAGGGTGGAGAGGATGAGTTTAGAGTGCTCTGGGAAACTTCAAGTGTATTTTTGCGTAAGGTGAGTGTTATGGGTGTCCTCTCAAATCCAGATGTTGAAGTCCTAAATCCGAATGTGACTTTTTTGGGGAAAGAGGGTCATCACAGGTGTATTTAGTTAGATGATATCAAACTGGAGTAGGGCAAACCCTTAATCCAATATGACAGGTATCTTTATAAAAGGAGGAATCTGGGACCAGCAGTTAGTGTAATGGCTATGTTGCTGGACTCCCATGTAGTCAACCATGGTTCGAGTCCCAGACCTGGTGGCTTAAACTCATGCCGGGCACATGTGCATGCGTGGCGAAGATCCTGAGAGGAGAATGGAGGAGAAGGGATTGCGGCGTGGCCATCCCCCCTGGGGGGTGATTTCTCGCTTTCTGTCTCTATGTCTCTCTCTGTCATTCTGGTGAGTGCACGTGCCCTATAGCATAAACTTCTCCAAAAAAAAAGAGAAATCTGGACATAGACATGCTTTCAGGCAGAACACAGTGGGAAGATGAGGGCAGATTGGAGTGATGCTTCTACAAGCCAAGAAACACCAATGATTTGGTGGTTAAGGTGGTTGGATCCCACATGGCCCACTGTGCAGTTTGAGTCCCGGACACAGTGGCTTGAGAAACACACTAGGTACATGCATGTATGTGCCCAAAAACCTGAGGGGAGAATGGAGGAAAAGGGATTGCAATGTAACCATTCCCCCTGGGGGACGTTTTCTCATTTCTTTTCTCTCTCTCCTATCTCTTTCTCTCCCCCCCCCCTCTTTCTGTTCTCTCCAGGGAGCACACACAATCTCTGGCAAAAAAAAAAAAAAAATTTTTTTACAAGTGAATAGCTGAAACATGAAGCATAGGCAGAAGATTTCTCAGATGGTGTCACTTTGGCACCATTGTCCCCTCAAATTGTTTAACTCTGACTAATTCTTTTCCCCAATTTGACATTTTGAAAGAAAACTTTTGGAAACATATTTCGTCTGCCCTAGAGGCAGAGAAACGTTTAGTGGCTGAGTGGCGTTCATTTCAGTGGCAGTCACAGTCACCGAATAAAACCAAACACTTTTGGAGCTCTAATTAATCTAAAGAAGGTACAATTACCAGGGAACCAGGACTTCAAGAGATGAGAGTACTTGTCCAGAGTCACCCCACGGAGGGAGCAGCGAGCTCCTGACAAAGCTGAGGGTATGTGTGTGGGATTGAATATGGCAGCGCAGGGGCAGGCCCACATGCATTTTCCCCTCCTTATGCCCTCTCCCAGGCTACAGAGATTGCCACACAGATTATCTTTCAGCAAAAGCTTTCTTGTTCTAAAGGCAGGGCCCACTTTATGCACAAGTCTGCTGTAGTTCTCAAGAGGGGGGTCTATTTTGTGCCCCAGGAGACATTTGGCAATGTCTGTCTGGTCTGGAGGTACAGGTTGTCACAGTTGGGGGAGTTGGAGGTGCTACTGGCATCTAGTGAGTAAAGGCCAGGACTGCTGCTAAACACCCTACAATGGGCAGGACAGCCTCCTTCACCCCAACAAAGAGTGATTCAGCCCAAAACAATAGTGCCGAGGCTGAGACACTGCGGTAGAAATGAATTGAGTAGACTTTCCAGGCAGTGCAAAGCACTATTCTCAGCTCTACAAACTGCCTCTCCGTGCTTGTCTCACTGACTTAAAAAAAAAAAAATTGCCAGAGGGCACATGTCCTCACCAGAGAGAGACAGGGAGAGAGAGAAAGAGAGGGACAAAGCACCTTCCGAATGGGCTATGATCACACCACAATCCCTTCTCTCCCATTTCTCTATCCCTTCAGGATTTGGGGCATGCACACACACACCCTGCATGTCTTTCAGGCCACCAAGGCCGAGACTCCAACAGTGGTCAGTCATGTGGAATCTGGTTCCCTCAATCACTAGGCCATGAGGTTGTACCCCTCCCCCACCTTTAAAGATAGAAAATTTGAGGCCAGCAGGTTGCATGGTGGTTAAGGTGCTGGACTCCCACATGGCTGACTGCGAGTAATCACCCCCCAGGGGTGTGGCCACGCTGCAATCCCTTCTCCCTCACTCTCTTCTTGGGATCCTAGGCACGCACGCACATGCGCCTGGTGGGAGTTCAAGCCACCGGGTCCGGGACTCGAACTGCAGTCAACTACATGGGAGTCCAGCGATGTAGCTATTACGCCATCTGCTGGTCCCTCGCAGAGCTACTTTTGAAAGAGCGAGGGTAAGAGATCACTGGGGCATTAAACTTGTGGAGGCTGGGAAAAGGACCAAAAAGGAAGATTAGGGTCCCTAAAACAAACGCTATTGCCTACAGTTTGCCTTGTGTAAATGCATTCATTGGGCCCAACCAGTGGCATGGTGGTTGAAGCAGCTGGAACCCACATGGCCGACTGTATGGTTGAGGTCTCACAACTCAGCAGCTTAAACAACAGGCAGGGTGCATAGGGATGTGTGCTCAATATCCCAAAAGGAGGGAGCAATGGAGGAGAAGGGATTATGGCATGACTGTGCCCCATGAGGATGCTTTTTCATTTTTCCTCTCTCTCTGTCTCTCTCTAGCAGGCACACCCACACTCTGGCAAAACAAAACAAAACAAAAATTTAAAAAGCATTCATTGTAGATAACGTTTCCAAAGGAGCCTAAGATACAGCAACCGTTTTCCTAGTTCAAGACTCTGTTGCTTGGAAGCCAGTAAACAGATGAGACATGTTGAAGTATCCTATCCACGAAGTTTTGAAGTTATGTGTGTTACACTAGTGAAGTTGGTTAATGAGAAAATAAACTGTTTTGCTTTTATTTGGTTAGTCTATGTGATGTTTTCATGAGTTGATTGCCTCGTTTATGAATCAGTAAAGTAACAGCCGTTTCCTTCCTTCTTTTTTGTGATTACATTTTGATTATGTCTGTGTTTATTAACAGTTTGGAGGAGAAATAATCAGGGAAATATAGCTTATGATGACTGACTGTTCCATTTGTGTATACCCACTGTGATAAGTACAATGTTTGCTATATAATAGGTACTTACTAATTTTTGTTGGAAGGATAAACTCAAGCCAGTCTGGCCATTTGCTAAGCAATTCTTGTGGGGGGCAGAAAGATTTTACATGTGAGAGGCTAATGGAATTAGTTGGAGTGAACAAGTTGAATTATTATTATTTTTTTCAATTTAATTTATTGATTGATTATAATTTAACCACAGAAGGATAGAGAGAGGGGGAGAGAGAGAGAGAATGAGCGAGCGAGAGAGAGAGAGAGAGAGAGGGACAGTGAGAAAGCAAGGCAACAGGTCCAGGACGTGAACTGCAGGTGGCCATGTGGGTGTCCAGCACCCTAACCACCACACCACCTGCCAGCCCCCAAGTTGAATTATTGATAGATGTCGATCAGTTTCAAAATCTCTCTCTCCTATTAGAACAGTAATATAGTCTCTCTTGATTTGGGAAGCCAGCGTGTGCAAATTCATATGGTTTTTTGCCTGAAGCATTGTATCAGTTCTCTGTTGCTATATAACAAACTACCCCTAAAATGCAGTGGCTTCCAATGATTTACTTTGATCAGGAATTTGCCCCTTGAGAAGGGCTGGGTGCAGACTGGTTATCTCTGTTTCACTCAGTATCAGCTTGGGTAACTCGACTAGTGCTGGAAGATTAACTCCCCAAAGTGGCTCACCCACATGCCCAGTAAGTTAGGACTAGTTGCTGCTTCCTTTCCATGGTGACCTTTCCAGTGGGTGGCTTGGG